CGGTGCAGGCCCTAAGAACCGAGCATTGGGTCCTCCCTAATGACCTTTTCCCTATTTCTTACTCTGTCTTGGCAGTTCCAAGCCGTTCTTCAAGGTTTGCTGATCAGACCACAATCCATTACCTTTTCTGACATAAGCATCCTACTTATTTACAGAGCCCCATTGTCTAGTAGTTACTTCCTAAACCCTAAATCATGTCTAGTTATTGTTTCTCTATTTTGAATATTGACTGATGGGGGCCGTACACAGGACTTTAGCAGCTCCCTGGTTATTTCAATCTTATGATACGTATTAATTGATAACAAGGCCACTAAAAATGATGTAGAAACTATAAGAAAACCACACGCTTCCGAATAGGCAGTTGGATGCCAGGTGGGGTACTCCAGGGCATCTCAAACTATTTGCAAGTCCATATTCTGCTTTTGTTATGAAGTAGACTTGAGGTTGTGCTCCAAAGGTGTGAACAAATGCTGATTCAGCGATGGTGACAGGGGATCAGGTGCGAGTGTTTGCCGTGAGTGTCAGGGAGCAGAACTTGGGAAGCAGAGGGGCAGTGCCAAGGAGTCCTTTGTTCAGTCTGGTTTATCTCCTTTGTGAGAATGAACATTGCTGGAATGTGTCCTCACATCAGTCATAAGGTGGACTGTTGTAGTTCCTTACTTGAAGCACGGTCAGAGTTTTGGCAAGAGTTAGTGGGATATAGGGACATCAAGAGAAGCCACTAAGCTCATGGTTTTGAGCTCATGGAGCAGAGAAGGTGATGTTCAAGGTTTAATGTAACAGAGGATGGGGGCTGAGGTGCAACATTTAAGCCTGTACGTGTTTGAACCCAGAGATGGCCCAGACTGAGGTGGAAGGAGGGAGTTGTTAGGATGGAGCCTGTCAGCAGGCTTGTGGTTCACGAATGTGTCAGCAGGGCATGTTGCAGTCACAGTGTCTTGGCTGATCATTAGAAGTGAAGAGCCTGGAGAGCAGGACCTGTGCATCTGCCAGTGTCTTGGAAGAGCAGGTTTAGAGAGCGGGGTCCACGGCATTTCCTTGCCACATGCAGTGTGCGGGGATTGCGGACGGAAAGGACCACCTTCCTGGCACCTGGGGATTGCTGTTTGACTTCTGTAAGGGAAGTTTGGTACAGGAGAAGTCTATGGCTTTCTGTGCTGCCTGTAATCAAAGTCTGTGAATTTCTGCGCTAATGAGCCCTGGTGGGAACACATTGTCCAAGCACGTTTCTGGTCTCGCATCTCACACTGGGCTCCATTAAAACTCCAAGTAACTTTCTTGCTGCTTCTGCCTGTCATTCCTTCAAGGCAACTTGCCAGATTTTGCCACAGCTACAAAGTAATAGGGAAGTAGTACCACATTCCTCAAGGGGCTCATTAAACTGCGGACAGCCATAATGAGCGCTGTGTTTGGTTTTCTGCCACTCCCAGGAGAGCTGTAAGCATTGTGTAGCTAATTAGGGAGCTCCCAGGTGTGTTTCAATGGATACATGCAGCATAATTGTCATTTGTCATTTGTTTTAATTATGTATGACAAGAAGAATGGAAATGGAGAAAGTTTGAAAGGAAATTAGCCTGGCTTATAGCCTGGTGGGAATCAGGCAGAGAGGGGAAAAGTATCTTTGTGATCAAGCAACGAGTGGCCAGAGTCACACTTTGATTCACGTACTGGGAATAAGACAGTTCTTATTACAGTCTTGTCACTGCAGCCCACAGCGGTGTCAAAGGCTTCATTACCAAAGCCTTTGTCTGCTCTAATCAGCACTGTCTTTAACTGTTGTACTCACTATGTGCAGAAACAGGAGGAATGTTCATCACCGTTGCAAAAGAATTGCAAGGCCTTTTTTAATGAAAGAGAGAAAAAAATCTTAATTTAAAAAAAGTCATATCTTTTACTCTGGTCCCCTTGAACTCCAGTTTCCTCAGGATATGAACCCTGAAAAGAGCTGGCTCAATGGAGAGATGGACAGGTGATAGAAATTTTCAGAGGCAATTCGACTAAGTAATGTTTAAACAATAGAATGAACAGAAACAAATTGAGAAAACCGAATGCACATGTAGAAGAGAATGTCATTGGCTTGCCAGATAACTTAGCAGATGGACAGGACAACTGGTTACCAACCTGATTGGCTGGTTCAGGAGTTACAGAGTTAATGAGCTAGAGCTACAGATAGGAACATTCGCTTGGGATGGCTTTTTTTCTCTGAAGTTAGCACCATTTTTCAACATTTCCATGATGGGAACGTGGGAAGTTATAACAAAAGAAATTTCAAAGATGAACAGTGGATTCAGCTGGAATAGAGGGATGAATTTTTTTGGAAATGTCAAAGTAATTGTTGGAACTGTTCATTTAAAATTCATATACTGTTTATAGCCAAAAGAATGCTAAGAACCATTGTCAGCAAAACAGAAGAAAAATATAAACACGAACAAAACAATAGACAGATAGCAAAGAGGTAAATAGCAATATTTCTTACAGTTGAAAATATATGGATTGTAAAAAAAAATCTTTTGGCAAAGTGAGGTAGTATTTCCTTCTGAAGTTTATTACTTGTTTCTTGCTTTTATTATTAAAACATTCATAACATTTCACTTTTGTGTATCAGTACTTAATTCAGGGATGGACTAAAGTAGCTTTCTTCTTCAAGCCTTGCAAGTTCTGACCTTTTTAGAAAAGTGCACAAGACTTCAGCTGATGTTCTCAGCAGACTGACTTTTGAGAGAGCCTACATAGGCAGCTTGGACTTGAGGGTGTATTCTGAGTGAACTTAGTGGATTTAGCTGAACTCCACCAAAAGCCTTTCCTACAGTGGTTACATAATAGGATAGCCTGCTGTAATTGCAGTATAGCTAGTCATTCGCAGTCCTGCATGTGGAACAAAATAAGCTCCCTCCAGAGGACAGGCTGGAGGCCCGGTGAACAAGGTGTTGAGCATGTCCCAGTAGTGTGTACTTCAGAAGATGAAGGCAGATGGTATATTGCACAAAATAATTTGAAACTTCTTGCTTTATGCCGAAACGCCTCTTGTCGAATGTTGGGAGAGAACCAGGGACGTTGTATTTTCCATTTTCCATTTTTAGAAAACCAACCAATCCCCAAACTTCTAAAGCATGGATCTAAGGGTCTGCATTGTGGGCTATTTCTTGAAAGCCATTACAGGTGTTTGACACTGCAGAGCTTACCTGCGTAGTGTTGGATGACTGTGTAGAGCAGAAAGAACAAAACCTGTTCCAATCTTATTCATGTTACCTCTTGAAAGGGACTCCTGGCATGATCTACTCTACAAACATGCTTCATCACACATAATGGTTACTTGGGAAGACAAATACCGTAACTCCAAACATCCCCCACTTCCTTCTTCTTTCCCCCAACTTTTATTGCTGAGCAAGATGTCATATGGTCTGGAATATCTCTCTGGTCAGCTGGGGTCAGCTGTCCTGGCCCCTGTCCCCTCACAGCTCCTTGTGCATCCCCAGCCTACTTGCTGGCAGGGCAGCGTGAGAAGCAGAGAAGGCCTTGATGCTGTGTAAGCACTGCTCAGCAATAACGAAAACATCACTGTGTTATCAACGCTGTTTTGGTCACAAATCCAAAACAGAGCACCAAATGAGCCATTATGAAGAAAATTAACTCTATCCCAGCCAAAACCAATATAACGGGTCCTCTTGAGCCTTCTTTCCTTAGGACTGACAGTGATGGAGCAGCCATAAAGGCAACCCAGTGATAATGGAAAAACACTGACAGAGAAGGGTATCTGCTTGGCTGGGAGGCAAGGACACCCTTGATATGCACAGCTCGGAGCCCGAGATAAGCACAGAACCAGGAAACCGTAATAACAGACTGACCTTCTAGGAAAGCAGAAGTCAGCAACAACTGTTCCAGGAGCTGGTGACCCACTTCTGTATCTACACCACTTCTGCCTGCTTAGGAAATGGTGTAGATACACAAATTTCTGCCAAAAGCTCTCCTTAGTGCTTCCCTTATGTCACTTTTCCTGAGGCTGTAGATGGGACTGAGCATCAGTATAATGACTGTGTAGGAAAGAGACACAAGTTTTTTGTTATTTGGTGAGAGTCTTGACTTGGGATGTCAATGAATTAAACAGGTTGTACAGTAACAGAGAGTAACAGCCACAAGATGAGCAGCACATGTGGAGAACACCCTTTGCCTGCTTTCAGCCATGGGTATCTGCACAATGGTGTAGGTGATGTAGATGTAGGAGATAGTGATTAGGATAAATGGCAGCAACATGATAAGCAGAGTGGCAATGAACACCAGAAGCTAGAATATGTAGGTATTTAAGCACAACAATTTCAGTACAGGTGAGATGTCACAGAAGAAATTGTTGACTTTGACTTACAGAAAGGCATGCTGAATAGCCAACCAGTGAGCCCAACTGCTACACGGAATCCAGAAAGCCAAGCTACTGCTGACATTTGCCTACATGTCTTTTTGGTCATGATGATAGCATAGTGTAATGGGTGGTAAATTGCTACATATCGGTCATAAGCCATGATTTGCTAACAGGAAACACTCAGATGTGATAAAGAGTATGATCAAGTTCAATTGCAAAGCACAGCCTGTGAAAGAAGAGGTCTTCCTTTCTGACAACAAATTTATCAGCATTTTTGGCACAATATCTTAGCTGTAGCAGATCTCAGTCAAAGACTAATTCTTAAGAAAATAGTACATCGGTGTATGAAGGGCAAGGTCAACAGTTGCAATGAGGACAATGAAAATGTTTCCCATCATAGTGACTGTGAAGACCAAGAGAGCTACCACAAAGAGTAAGAGCTGGAGTTGGGCAAGACGAGTGAAACCCAGCAGGATGAAGTGAGTTACTCTTGTGATGTTTCCCAAATTCAGATCTTCCTCATTCTCTATCTGAAGAAAAAATAAATCCAGCAGTTTATTCCACTGTGATGATGTTGCAGATGAGTATCTTCAGAAATTGACAATGGAATGATAAAATAAGATGGGCTGATTGTAGTTCAAGTAGCTTTATAAGCCACCTCAACAGACTTAGGGAAATACCAGTATTTTTCAATTTGAAGGTCTATATATTAATCTGCAACCTGACACATACACATATTCAGAAGCACACACCCAAATACCCTTCCATATTTAAACCACTCACATAAACAATCACTCAGAGATACAGGCATGCAGTTTTATGTACGCACATGCAGTTACACAGAAACACAGGTGTGTTTATGCATCTGGATGCAGAATCCCCACTCTCCCTTCCATCCCCCTGATGCTTACACCTAGAGGTGCATCAACACACTCATTTCGAGAGCTGCAGAAGCAAATACACAATCCCTTCATGTTCATATCTATAGGAACAACCAAAGCAATACTATTGCTCAGCATGGACAATAGCTTTCCCCTTAAGTAGTCCTAATGAAGGTATAGCTTAGTTGCACTCTATACAGGATGTAGGAAGAATATCTTTACATTGTCTTTTGCTTCCACTTTACTTTTAGCACAAAACAACACCCAATCTTTTGTTATGCTGAAGCTGCCAGTGTTGAATAATATTTTTCAGATAAAGTTCTGAACCACACCATGACATCAAAGGATATTTTGAGCTATGAGGTTGAGGAGGAAAGACAGAGAGATGGAGATCTCCACTCCTGGTATTTGCAAGACACCCTGATTTAAGCCACATGGTGAGGATATGCTAATCTTTACTGCATTTTTTTTTCCACCAACATTTTATTAGCATAAAAATAATGATACCTTTCTAAATTTCCACTGCCATTAAACTTGACTGGATTTTTTAAAATTTTTTTTATACTTATTTTTAAAGGAAGAAAGAAAAGGCTTCTCAGTTATTTGTAAATGGTTTCTAATATCTTTTTACCCTTTTTTTTCTTTCTCATAAGTTGTATGAGAGAAGGGGAAAAACTAAATTAGATTTTTTTTTCTTTTCATAAGACAGTTGAAAATGAAAGATGTTTTTATGTTTTAAAACAATGTTTTCATGAAGAAGGAAACTAGGAAAAGGCAAAAAATATGTAGAGAAATGTTGTAAATGCAGAAATGTAAAATGACATTTCACACTCCTATCTATTTTCCAAGAAAAACATAACACAGCTTTTCCTCATTCATTTTTGGTCTTGACAGAACTTACCATGTTAATTCATTTACCATTTCTTGGTGGATGAGTGTAGCCAGCATAGAACATCACCAGACTTTCAATGCGTCATACTCAAAGACTTTTATGAAATTGTATAAGAATTTCCCTGTTCATCTTTTATACATCCCTTGTTCTTGTGTTTCCACCTTCTCTGTAAACAAACCTGACTACACCTGAAAAGCTCTAGATTGTCCCATGTTTCATGTAATTTCTCTTAGGAAAAAACCTGTTATCTCCCTTCATCTAGCTGCTCTTAATCATTTGCATGATAACTCCCTTAGCACTTTTCCTAGAGGCATTTAAAATTGCGGTTGTGGGAGGATCTTAAGAGGATTGGGGGGTTTTTTTGACAATAAGAAAGTTGTATAAGGCCAAAGAATTATCCTAAGAGTAGAATATTAAGGAGAGAAAACACATCTAACTTCCTTTTTTTTGTCACTTATTTGCCATTCCAGAATGGTAAACATCTCATATAGGTCCTGTGTCTTATCCACCAAAGCTGTTCAAATGTCCCAGATGTCATAATGTGTCTAAACTGGCAATAGATATCTTTGTTAGGAAAATGAAACTTGCTGTACCTATCTAGATCCTATTTATAGGCAACAGAGTCACAATATAGGACTCAGTTTCTTGACTGACTGAACGGGCATACAAAGATATCCTATAGGCACTAATCAAAGTAGATGTCTCAGTGTGTGATTTACCTCCATAGAAAATGCCTCATGTTACCTATTTTCTGTATACGATGGATATCTATGCTGGTACATGTAGCTCTAAGAATTCTCCTTCAGGCTTCTTGAGGAGTGGTTCAGGTCATCATGGTTAGCATAAGCTGTTCTTGCAGGAACAGAAAAACTCCACACAAGACAGATAAAATGAGGATGAGCCTGTTCTCTAGGTCCAGACAGCTACATGGAACCTCGCTGAATGTGGTGATTACCTGACTAACGAGCCTTTCCTGTAAAGACATGCTACCATAGAACAAGCAGAGGGATTTGACCTCCCATGAGATCGAGCAGGAAACAGAAGGTAAGGAGAGGTGGAGAAGAGAAAAGGAAGAGCAGTAAATGGAAGGCTATAGGGAGGAATGTCAGGGGGAATCATGACTGCACATCATCATCCCCCCTTACTCTTTCTTAGTTTTGTAGTCTAGACAGGCAAAGGACATGGCCATGGCACAAGTTTGGGAATGTTACAGCTTCTTTCCCCCAGGAGCATTAGGGATGTTCTGAACCACTCAGCTAGGGAAGAGCAATGGTTCTATGCAGTCATGCTTTGTTTACACTCAACACTTTTACACTGCTAGCCAGGGACAACAGCCTGTCTTGGGGGAAGGTGACAGCAGCAAAGTCCAATGACCTCACTATCACGAAGAAAAATGGGCTTGTAAAAAACCACAGTACCCTCATCCCTCTTTTCAATGGTGCTAAGTGATGTCTTTGCAAGGATAATATCATCTTTGAAGGACAGTGGCAATGAGCAGAATTCCCAAATGACTGGAAAAAGAAAAAAATTGCACCCATTTTCCAGATGGGCAAGAAGGAGAATACAGGAAACTACCTCATTCATTCTCCATCAAGACTATGGAGAAAATCTTCCTGGAAGCCCTATCTGGGCACAGAAATGACAAGAAAGTGATTGGGAACAGCCAGCATGGATCACTCAAGTGAAAATCATGCCTGAGTAGCCCACTTTGCTGAGAAAACACTTTGGAATTTCTTAAATTAGCCATTTTGTTTTGAAATGAAAAAAAAAAAAAAAAAAAAAAAACACAAAAAAACCCACAAAAACCCCAAACCCCCAAACCCAACAAAACTAAACAAGAAGAAAACCTATGGTTTCTTTGTGATCCTCACATGGAAACAGGCCACACTTTCTAGTCCAGAATGGCTCAGACTCATCCGACCTGTACTGTTAAGGATTAGAGAGTAAACTGTTCTCTTCTCCATGTGAGTGTTTCCTTAAGTGGCAGCTATTTAGCCCTCTGCAAATGGAAAACCAAGTTAAAAATAGCATCTAGACAGCTAACGTGAATAAGCAGCTAAGCACCACACAGCTGCTCATTCGCTTCCCTGGCTCAGAAGAATGGAGGAGAGAATTGGAAGGTAAAAGTGAGAAAACTCATGGGTTGAGATAAAGACAGTTTAATAGGTAAAGCAAAAGCTTCCCATGCAAGTAAAGCAAAATAAAGAATTCATTCACTACTGCCCATTGGCAGGCAGGTGTTTAGTCATTTCCAGGAAAGCAGGGCTTCATCACACATAATGGTTACTTGGGAAGACAAACACCGTAACTCCAAACATCCCCCACTTCCTTCTTCTTTCCCCCAACTTTTATTGCTGAGCAAGATGTCATATGGTCTGGAATATCTCTCTGGTCAGCTGGGGTCAGCTGTCCTGGCCCTGTCCCCTCACAGCTCCTTGTGCATCCCCAGCCTACTTGCTGGCAGGGCAGCGTGAGAAGCAGAGAAGGCCTTGATGCTGTGTAAGCACTGCTCAGCAATAACGAAAACATCACTGTGTTATCAACGCTGTTTTGGTCACAAATCCAAAACAGAGCACCAAATGAGCCATTATGAAGAAAATTAACTCTATCCCAGCCAAAACCAATATAACAGTGCAGACGAACAGAGGAGCAGTGCCCTCAAACAAAACAATTGGCAGTTCAGGCAAGTTCGGAGAACTCCTTTGCTTTGAGAGAGATTTTATTGAATCTGCATAAGAGACAAAGTGAGATCCATCATGTTAACAGTGCGTATGATCACAGTGAATAATCTGCTACAAGAGGATTGTTTTTCTGGTTGTACATAGGAAGATAACGGCATGTAAAGGCAAGGAATCACCCCAGGAAATTCTGTATATGGTCATTTCAGTAACTTTCTAGACTCCATTGACTCTTTACCTTGGGGAGGAACTTATGTACTTTGAGTGCCCGGTGCCTTTTAGATGACCTATAATGTATCCTTTGGCTTCCAGCTGCTGCTCCAGAAGGATGTGGTTCTTCTGTAAGTCCTATGTATGACAAGTCAGATTGAACAGGACCTCTGATTTTCTCTGATTCACTCCCACTTGCAGCATGGCCAACTTAGATCAGATTGCTTAAGGCCTAGTCCAAGCAAGCTTTGATTATCTCCAGTCATGGAGATTCCATCATCATATCTGCTAGCTTTGGACCGCTAAACTGATCTATGTGATAGAATGAAGTACAGACTGGAGAAAAAAATGAGTTTGTAGGTTAAGGGATGCACGTCAGGACCCATATATTGGTGTCTATGTGTAGGATAGGTGTTGAAGGAGCTGTTATTGTCATTGGTGTTCTTATGCTGGATTCACTGGACTAAACATAGGGTTCTAATGACATTTCTGGGTCTGTGGCATGATCGATATGACAAACAAAAAAGAAAAAAAAAGAAAAACAATCAAGATAATAATAGCAATAGCAATGAGAAGTAATATAATTGCTGGTCTGAGTGCTCAGCAATGCAGGGTGAAACAGAAAAGATAATAAAAGAGGCAAGTTTAAGGATGTGGAATCCATGCCAGGAGTCATTTCAGCTTACAGTGATAACTGATTGGAAGCGTTCTTGAAGCAGTAACTTGCATTACTGCATCTTATCCTGGTTTTAACGAAATACTTGGTTCTACTTTCTTCATACTCCTCTGTTAGGTACTTGTAGAAAGCAATAAGGTCCTCTTGAGCCTTCTTTCCTTAGGACTGACAGTGATGGAGCAGCCATAAAGGC